AAACACCATCTTATTTTAACTGTCTCTTTTTTTCCAGAAAATCAACAAATCTTAAACTATATATTCCTTAAGTGTTGTAACTTAGGGAAGGTTAGCGAATAGAATAATCACACAAAGGTTGGTAATGAATGATAATACTTAGGACAAGAACAACACATGTAAGATTCCCCACCGGCATGTAGGGAATTAGTCAACTGTTAGAAGTAAGTCAAATGAACGCCACAATGAATCTCCAAATGCAGACCAACATACAATATTTACAACTGTATTTATATGAATGGAGACATATCCATTATCATCAGTAGGCATGCTACAACATTAAGAAAAAAATCTTTATTAAATCAATTACAAGTGGGAATAAAAATATTGATTAAAAATTAAAATGTGTAAAAGTAAATGAACCTTTAAATTTATGCTCTGTATTTTTGTTTTACATGGTTGCCAGTGAAAATAATTTTTTGTACCTGTGTAAAAATGATATGTCTTCATTTTTTTGGTAAGCTGTGTATACTGCAGTCAAACAATATAACTCACTGTCTATGCAAAAGTGTGTAGTTTTGGACTAAATTTAATATATATATATATATATATATATATATATATATATATAAAGATGAAAAGAAATTCCTGAAGTTTTAAAAATTACATAGTTGAAAACTATAAGATTGGAGATGGCTATAAAAAACTATCAAAACTATTTGGAGTGCACTTTTCCAATGTGAAACAAATTATTTGTAAATGGAAGGTCTTTGGCAAGACAGCATCACAACCGAGAAATGGCTGTTCCAAAGAAATCACGGCAAGAGCAAGTAGACATCTAGTTCAGCAAGCCAAGACAAATCCTGCCATGACCTTTGTGATACTCCAATGCTCACTGGCCAATGTCAGAATCAATGTGCATACATCTACAATGTGATAAAATCTGAACAATGTCAATCTTCATGGCAGAATGTCTAGAAAAATCCACTACTTATGAAATAGTATAAGCATGCTTTCCTCAACTATGCCAAAGCTCATATTAATAAGCTAGAAACATTCTGGCAAAAGGTTTTATGATCAGATGAAAACAAACTAGAGTTTTTGGTAAGAACAATAGATAGTATACATGATCATTTTTTGGGTAAGTTGTGTATACTACAGTCAAACAATATAACTCACTATGTATGCAAACATGTGTATTTAGAGACAAAATTAAAAAAATATATATCCAAAAGATCAAATAAACTTCCTGAAGCTTTAAAAAATCACATTGTTGAAATCTATAATGATGGAGAAGGCTACAAAATTATTTTGAGTGCACGTCTCTATTGTGCAATAAATTATTTATAAAAGGAAGGCCTTTCGTATGACAGCATCACAATCTAGAAGTGGCCATCCCTGAAAAATAACAGCAAGAGCAAGTAGACATTTAGTTTAGCAAGCCCAGGCAAATCCTGCTCTGACCTTTGCACTTCTTCAATGCTCACTGGCCAATGTCAGAATCAATGTGCATACAACTACAGTGCAACAAAATCTGAACAATGTCAATTTTCATGGCAGAATGCTTAAAAAATGCTACTGCTTATGAAATAGCAAAAGTATGCTCACTTCAACTATGTCAAAGTTCATATTAGTAAGCTAGAAATATTCTGACAAAAAGATTTTATGGTTGGATGAAATGAAACTAGAGATGATTGGTGATATATCTGCTGAGCTCTTAATTCAGATTTTGAAGAGAAGAATTTGATACCAATCATTAAATATGGTGGTGACAGCATTATGATTTTGGGATTGCGTTGCTGCTGCTGGAAGAGGCTAAATAGTATGTATTGATGGCACAATGGACTCTGCAAGATACTAAGTTATTTTGAACAAAAATGTCTTGTCCTCAATTCAAAAGTTGGGTTTAGGTCAGGATTGGAACTTCCAACAGGAAAAATGATCTGAAACATCAAAGCAAATCCACAAAATAAAGGTTTTCTAAAAAGAAATTTCAAATTTTGGAACAGCCTAGTCAAAATTCTAATTTAAACCCAATTGAAAATCTGTGCTTCAAGTGAAAGAAGGCAGTGTATGCAAGAAACCCAGATAATATCAAGCAAGTTTTGCCCAGAAGAATGGTCACAAATTGGAACTAACTACTGCTAATAACTTCTTAAAAAAAAATTATCGAAAAAGACTTGTTGACATTGTAACCTCAAAAGGAGCAGTCACCCAAATATTAAATGTAAGAGTACACTTACTTTTGAATATCTTAATCTTTCAAATTTGAATTAATATTTTTTATTCCAGCTTGATAAAAAAATTTTAAGTTGCTTGTAATTGATTTAATAAACGGTTTTCTTAATGAATATATAGTTTAATTAAGATTTGTTGATCATCTGGAAAAAAAGAGACAATTTTTTAAATATTATCTTAGGGGTTCACTTACTTTTGCACAGCATTGTATAAATATATATATGGCAAAAGTCATATCACAAGGATAAGATTAAGGTATTAAAACCCCTGCCAGTGTCTTCTCATCAGTCCAATCAAATTGTGTGTGGTCCTAGCAATCTCTGCTTATCTTGACTAGTTCCAGTTATTGGATTGAGGCAGTCTGGTATTGAGTGTCATCATATTGTTTTTGAACATTTTGAACAACCTAATGTATGTATATATATATATATATATATATATATATATATAGTAGGCTTTTTCAAAAATAATTTATGTTTATCACTCTTATTCTTCAAAAATAAATTACAATTATATATTATTCTATTATGTATTCATCATTATTTGCAATCATTTGTTGCTACCTACCAGGAAGCTCTTTGATAACTTTTGAGCAAAATTCTACAGGTTTTGATGCGAAAATATTTTCAGCAATTTTTTGAATCTAGTTTTCATTAGAACAAATTTTCATTATTAAAGCATATCACAGTGATTGAAAAAGATAATAATAGTTTGGTGCAATATAACAGGTGGGAGTAAAATAGACCAATTGCGCTGCAATAATTTATCTTGTGTTATTCTTGTTCTCTGCAGCCTTGCATTGCAATGGAGGAGAACTATGTATCTTTTTAAATCCAATATATACACTGCTATAGCTATGCAAATACTAAGGTATGTTACTGTATTCAGAATTTATTCTTTAGTTACACATAGTTTGGTTAATATGATGGTATATCAGTAAATTATCAATACTTTTGCTATGATGTATCTTTAGCATTGTCCCATTGCCTTCTAGTGTGCTTATAGTTGGTATTATTGTAGTCATGTGTTCGAAATTTGAGCTTGATCATGACAGTTTTCTTCCTGTTGTTACAGTGTAAATATGGCAACTCCACTAGCAGAGTGGCCATATTTACACTGGATTTTCCAAGGAGGAACAAAGAGCAGTGATTGAAATCTGCCAAGAACATGCTGCCTCATCAGTGCCAGTTTACCATCTCTTGAGCTTATTGAATCTTCTCATCATTGGTGGAGGCTGATGGGCATCCTGCTCCTTCTTTGTATATCATGCATGTCCAGCCACTCGTACACACTTCTACGCAGTAGGGGAGTGTCAATGTATTGTGTTAAGTCTCCAATGAATTTCAGCTTCTGATGCACATTCTGAACAGAGAAATCGGATCATTGGTCTTTTTTCCTGCTTGGTGCACACTGCAAGTGGATCGGTCATGTTTACACTGTAACAGCAGCAACAAAACTGGCATGATCAAGCTCAAACTTCAATCATGTAAAAACAATAGAATCAACTATAAGCTCACATGAGCAAAAGGCAGTTTGATAAACCTAAAGATTTTTTATGGCAAAAGTGTGGATGTTTTTTTACTTACCTTTGTACATTTGTAATTACATTTAGTTCCCAAGAATTACTTCTGGCTCAACATAATATGTATATGAGAGAATGCTTACCACTGAATTAAGTACATTAACAAGGAAGGAAATTAAGAGATTATATTAAAAATATCTATTGTGTAAAGTAAAATATACTTGCTTTTCAACATTAGTCTATTGATGTATATACATGTAACTTTTCTTTTCTGAGATTTCTCTTCATCACCTCTGTTTATTTTCTCTGATGTTAGAACTTTCAGAAAGTAAGTACAGAATACATAATTTATTTATTTACCTTGTACATAAAGAAAACCACAGAGCATTTGGCTCAAATCTAATAATATCAAAGAATAAAATGGCAGTGTGGTTATGCATGGTGTCTCTGAAAATAAAATGGTTTTACATTATTTTGAATGTTTAAGGTGACATATGTGTGTGTGTGAAAAGTGTGTGTATATAAATATAAACATAAATATATATATATATATATATATATTTTATATTTATATATATATATATATATATATATATATATATATATATAATATATTATATATATTATTATTTATATATTATATGCAAGGTACTTATTCAATCCAACCAAATATATATATATATATATATATATATATATATATATATATATATCAAGTATATGATTGGTGTATAGTGAATAAATTACAATAAGGAAAAAATACTATGCTTAAAACAGTGTTCAATAGAGTAGAAGAAATATAATTTATTAGAAAATCATAACATAAATATGTTTAAAATCACTATGAAAATAGCCATCTTGTCTTAACATTTCTGGTGTCTTATCAAGTGATAGTGTTGAATGTAGAATAAATTCTTGATAAGACACCAGAAGTGTTGAAACAAAATGGCTATTTTTGTAGTGATTTTATTACATATACAGTGAGTACACCCCTCACATTTCTTCAAATATTAAGTATATCTCTTCATGGGACAGCACTGAAAAAATTACCTTTTGACACAATGAAAAGTAGTCTGTCTGCAGCATATATAACAGAGTTAATTTGTTTTTCCCTCAAAATAACTCAAAATATATCTATTAAAAGCTAAATCCCTGGCAACAAAAGTGAGTACACCCCTAAGAAACTACACCCCTAAATGTCTAAATTGAGTACTGCTTTTCATTTTCCCTCTAAAATGTCATGTGACTCATTAGGGTAACTATGCCCATGTGTTCATGGGGAGCAGGTTTATTCAAATTTGTAGTGCAGCTCTAACACTCTCTCTTACCGGTCACTGAAAGTTCCAACATGGCACCACATGGCAAAGAACTCTCTGAGGATCTTAAAAAATGTATTGTTGCACTATATAAAGATGGCCAAGGCTACAAGAAGATTGCCAACACCCTGAAACTGAGCTGCAGCACAGGGGCTAAGATCACACAGCATTTTAAAAGAGCAGGGTCCACTCAGAACAGGCCTCGGGTAGGTCGTCCAAAGAAGCTGAGTGCATGTGCTGAACATCACATCCAAATGCTTTCTTTGAAGATCGGCGTAGGAGTGCTGTTAGCATTGCGGCAGAGATTAAAGAGATTGGGATTCAGCCTGTTAGTGTTCAGACCACACGCCGCACACTACATCAAATTGGTGTGCATGGCTGTCACCCCAGGAGGAAGCCTCTTCTGAAGGCAATACACAAGAAAGCCCACAAACAGTTTGCTGAAGACATGTCAACAAAGCCCATAGCTTACTTGCACCATGTCCTATGGTCTGATGAGATGAAATTTAATTTGTTTGGTTCTGATGGCCTTAAGCATGTTTGGCAGCGACCAGGTGAGGAGTACAAAGATAAGTGTGTCATGCCTACTGTCAAGCATGGTGGTGGGAATGTCATGGTCTGGGGCTGCATGAGTGCTGCAGGTATTGGAGAGTTACATTTCATTGAGGGAAACATGAACTCCAACAAGTACTGTGAAATACTGCAGCAGAGCATGATCCCCTCCCTCCAGAAACTGGGTTGCTGAGCAGTGTTCCAGCATGACAATGACCCCAAACACACATCCAAGACAACCACTGCTCTACTGAAGAGGCTGAGGGTAAAGGTGATGGACTGGCCAAGCATGTCTCCAGACTTGAACACAATAGAACATCTTTGGGCCATCCTCAAGCAGAAGGTGGAGGTGCGCAGAGTCTCAAATATCCGCCAGCTCCATGACGTCATCATTGATGAGTGGAAGAGCATTCCAGTGACTACTTGTGAAGCTCTGGTAAACTCCATGCCCAGGAGAGTAAAGGCAGTTTTGCATAATGATGGTGGCCACACAAAATATTGACAGTTGACATGTTGTATGTTAATATTGACAACTTTTACTAAGGGGTGTACTCACTTTTGTTGCCAGGGATTTAGCTTTTAATGGCTATATTTTGAGTTATTTTGAGGGAAAAACAAATTAACTCTGTTATATATGCTGCAGACAGGCTACTTTTGATTGTGTCAAAGTGTCATTTTGTCAGTGTTGTCCCATGAAGAGATATACTTCAATATTTGAAGAAATGTGAGGGATGTGTACTCACTTTTGTGATACACTGTATATGTTATAATTTTCAAATAAATTATATATATATATATATATATATATATATATATAATTTATTTGAAAATTATAACATATATATATATATATATATCGTTCAGTAAAGACAACAGACAAGCTACTATGATTAAGCTTTTTATATAATTTTTCTTGTGTTCGAACAAGTGCTTTTCTTTTTTGGACACAGTGTGTGTAGAAACTGTCCAACTGTTCTGAAAATAAAATATCCCTATAACTCTAAAATCATACATACAACCCATACACCCAATTGAAAAGCAAAAATAAAATCATCCTTGATAATGACTAAAAATATAGCTAAAAGTTCTTGGAATTACAGAAAAACTAAATTTGGGAAAAATTAAATAAAAAGCTTAATCATAGTACCTTGTCTGTTGTCTTTAATGAAACATGTATAAATGAAGTATATATATATATACACACACACACATACATGTATACACATATATATATGTATATATATATATGTGTGTGTATATATATATATATATATATATATATATATATATATATTTGTGTTTATGAAAAGAAAAATATATAAAATAATTATACACTTTTTCAAATCAATGCACACTCAGTACTGAGCTATTATTTAATTTTATTTTGAATTTAGAAGCACTTGTTATTTACCATGGTTTCACGACTTAGGTTCTTCAGTCTATTAAGAATGTTAGAAACTAGGACTTAAAAAATTATTTGTAATATGTCCTCAGCAATTTCAGCCAACTTTGGTCGTTTTCAAGGAAAGATGAAAATTTGAGAAATTGACAGTATAGCGTTCATATATATATATATATATATATATATATATACACACACACACACACAGGGGTCGGACAAAATAATTGGAACAGTTGCAAAATTCACTCCTATATTTCAAAGACCTATTATATTAAGAACTTTAACTAAAACTTCATAATTGCAGTTTATAACTATTGTAAATACATTTATTTATCTAATTTACTGTCTTTGTCTTATTTATTTTTAGAATTTAGTAAGATTTAAGCTAAATGTGTGGCCTCTCCGATTTCGAAAAAGAGCAAATTGTTGGAGCTCACATGGCAGAAGCCTTGATCACTAAGGTTGCTGAACTGTTTGGTTTTTCAAGAGCTACCTTATCAAGAACACTGATGCAATTTGAGAAACAGGGCAAGACCTCTAGCAACCGTAGCAATTCCGGCCGGACTTGCAAACTTACTGACAGGGACTGAAGTGCATTGAAACACAATGTGGCAAAAAATCATTGGACAAGTGCAGCCAAAGTGACTGCTGATTTGAATAACCATCTGAATAGTTCAGTTTCTACTAAAAATATTCACCGTGAGCTCCATAAGGCTGCATATCATGGAAGAGCCACTGTGAAGAAACCTCTTCTCTCCACTCGCAATATTCAAAAGAGGTTGAAGTGATGCAGAGATCACAATGCCTGGTCTGCAGACCAATGGAAGCAAGTCATATTCTCAAACAAGTCCAGTTTTTCTCTTTTCCCAACTTCAGGGCAAGTTTATGTGTGGAGGCAGCCCAAAGAAGCTTACAACCCTGACTGCCTTCTTCCAACAGTGAAGCATGGAGGTGGATCAGTGATAGTTTGGGCCGCTATATCATAATATCTAATAGTTGTCCTGCATGATGAAATCAACAGCAAAGATTACCTGAACATTTTGGGAGATCATGTTCATCCAATGGCCAAGACTTTATTCCCTGATGGTGACTGCATCTTCCAAGACGATAATGCTCCAATACATACCTCTCGAGTGGTTAAGAATTGGTATGAAGAGCATGAAAGTGAGCTAGAACACATAGAGTGGCCTCCCCAATCTCCAGATATCAATATTATGGAACATTTGTGGTGCATTTTGGAGCAACAAGTTAGGAGCCACTATATAACAAGTATTCCAATTATTTTGTCCAACCCTGTATATATATATATATATATATATATATATATATATATATATATATATATTTTAAGACATTTTATGTTTATAAATCCTTTTTATAGATACAAATGTTTAAGTAAATGCTCTGTTTATGATAAACACTATTAAACAACATTTACCGTCCTGAATGTCTGAGAAATTTTCATAGTAATTTGTATCTATAAAAAGAATGTATAAACATAAAATGTCTTTAAAATAATTGTTGGACTTTGTCCATTTCATAATATATATATATATATATATATATATATATATATATATATATATAATCCCAAACTTCTAACCACCTATACAAAGGCATTGTTGTGTATGAGCATACTTGCTAATCAATGAATATTTCTATGTAAATAAAAAATACAGTTTTTCATAGGATATATCACAACCTCGCTCTCATGGAAACCCATTTGTTACCTAATGGACCAGAATGCCATCAGATAACAAATTAATAAGCAGCATAAGGATCATATTAACAATAAATACCTATTGACAAACAATACCAAAATACTAGCAAAATCAAATAGTAAGAGAAAAGCTAAAAATTCTTAAAGCAACACTCATGGAACAAAATCAAGCAACTATAAATAAAAACAATTATAATTTAAAAGCCAGCATCCACAAATGGATATAAAATATTTTTAAAAATAATAAATAAAATAAACACACGCATACACACATCTCGTCTACTCTACATCATTTCTTGATCATTACACACACAAGTTCTACAAAACTTACCATTTTTTTCTACCTACCCTGAAGAAAGTGAATAGTTACATTGTCCTGTGCATGACAATAAACTACATCTGCATCCTGAGTAAGACAATAAACTACGTCTAACAGCAAGGACTCTGATCAGAAGGTTTTGAGTAGCATGGAACCAACTCTTAATTACTGGTGTTCCCAGGTCCATCCTGACCTGGGGTGGTAGCACCTGTTAGGGTCTCAGCTATTAGTATATAGTTAACTCCGAAACTAAGGGTAAAAACACTATGAAAATGTAAAAATAGGTTTTAATACCAGAAATACTTTGTAAAAAATATTACTAGCAATAAATTTTTGAAGAAAAATTATTACTAGTTATGCATTTAAAAAAATAATTACCAGCAATAAATTTGGGAAAAAAAAATATAACCAGTAATAAAAATTTTGTCAATATTGAATAACCCATTGAGGTTGTATATGCCGTAAAACAAACCAAACCTAACCAAACCAAACCAAGCCAAAAGCTTGGACTATATTTCTCTCAAAATGAACTTTGGAAAATTTCTGATGAAATTTCTTTATCTGAGAAGGATTATTTGTAATTTAAGTCTCTCAATAAAATTAATCAACACAAAATATCTGTTGACTTTAATAACATTTACTTTATTTATATATGTATATGTATTTGTGTGCATGTTTTTGAGATTCTGTTTATTTATATAACTATTTTTTAAATCCAAAGACACATGCTCCCATAAATCTTTACATAGGATTTATTTAGTACAAATAAAATTGGTTACTTAGCTGATTTTATAATCAGTACTTACCTTATTTACTTAATTTATTTACTTATTTATTGATTTGGATTAATTTATTATACATATTTTTTTAATTTTATTTTTGATTTTGATTTTTTGATTTTTAAGTGAAAATTTGTTTTTGTGTCTGCAATTTGAGATGAGTTCTGATCATTTATTTAGTATTTTTAATAACAATAAATCCCTCTACCATCCTTTGATGAGGTGGCTTATGATTATGCCAAGTAGAGGAGTATGTGCATAAAAGATATTACAATTTTGAGAGGTCAGATATTGAACAGTTAGATATTACAAGGCAGATCAATAAACACCACTCTAACATTCCTGCAGCCTTCACAAGGGGTGCTGTTCCTTGTCCTACATGTAAAATATTGTGTGGGTCACATACAGAATTTAAAAGTCATTGAAGTCACAAAAACAAGTTAAGTATTAAGAGTGGAACAAGCTATTGAGTCCCCATATATTGAAAGCATCGTCTTTATTTCTGTCAGTATGTGTCAAACTGTATATGTTTGAGAAGTACATTGATGTATTCTCTCTGTATTCTGATGTGTGTGTGTGTGTGTGTGATAATGTTTGTTGCAATTCTGTAGACAGGAACTTTCTCTAATCCAGTTATTTCTGTTTCCACACAGATCCACATCCAGAGCCAGAAAAGCAGATGAAGTATTAAAGGTGTTTTACCAAGGGAAATCAAATATTCACGACTGTAAAATATTCTGGATCTATCAAGTTGCCACTTTCAAATACTTCTTCTCAGTTTCTTTCTTCTCCTCTTTCTTTTCATTTTCACCTCTTTGGTTAATATCGTTCTTTTTCTGGTCTCTGCAACATTCCTGTTTCTATCAACTTCTTCTACATACACACACACACACACACACACACACACACACACATATATATATATATATATATATATATATATATATATATATATATATATATATATAAAAGTTTATATATATGTATTTTGGTTTTTTTCTTTGTTCTCATGTCAACATATTTCTCTTTTTAACATTTTTGTTCTTAACACTTATATTTTTGTTCTTTGGCATTTTTCTGAATGCTCTTTATTTTTCATTCTATGTATTATTTCTGCTATCTCTTGCATTCCCATGAAATCTAGTCTCCCTTGACATATATTATTTCTCTTTCACTCTGCTTCTTTAATTTAAAGAAAAAAATTTTTGCTTTCTTTCTTTCGCATTTGCACTGTTTTTGTTTTTGTTTTTGCTTTCAGTTTTTCTTTCTTATTCGATCTACTTCCTTCTTACTTTCTTTCTTTTACTTATTCACTATACTTCTTTCTCATTTTCTTTCTTTCTTTCTTATTCACTCTGCTTTTTTCTCATTTTCTTTCTTTCTTTCTTTCTTATTCACTGTTTCTTTCTCATTTTCTTTCTTCCTTTCTTTCTTTCTCATTCACTATGCTTCTTTCTCATTTTCTTTTCTTTCTTCTTTCTTTTCTGTTTTTTTCTTAGTTTCACTCTTCCTTTCTTTCATTTTATTCTTTTTTTTTCTTTCTTTCTTTCTTTCTTCTTAGTCACTTTGCTTCTTTCTCATTTTTTTCTTTCTTTCTTTCTTTCTTTCACTCTTTTCATTTTCTTTCTTTTTTCTTTCTTTTCTTTTAGTCTTTCTTCTCATTTTCTTTCTTTCTGCTTTTTTCTTTTTCTTTTTCTTTTTTCTTTCTTATTCACTCTTTTTCTTTTTTCTTTCTTTTCTTTTCTTTTTTCTTTCTTTCTTTCTTTCTTTCTTTCTTTCTTTCTTATTCACTCTGCTTCTTTCTCATTTCTTTCCTTTCTTTATTTCCAATCATTCATTTATTCTTGTTCACTCTAATTCTTTCTTGTTTGCTTGCAATCTTTCTTTCTTGTTCATTTTGTTTGTTTCCTTTTTGTTTTCACTCTTTTCTTCATGTTTTTGCTATTCTTTTTTTCCACTGATTTCTTTTTCCTTAATTAGCCAAGCTTCAAAGTATTTTTCTTTTCATTTTGTTCATCTTATTGCAGATTTCCTTTATCAGTATTTTGTCCTTCACCATCTACTCATTCTTCTTTTTGTTTTTACTTTTATAATTTCTTTTTTTAATTTTTATTCTTTTGTATATCATAAGGGTTTTCTATTAATCATTCCCAAAGAGTTACCTCCCTTCAGTTTTTTTTTCAGACTCTTGCTATTTATTCATTCTCTCTCTCTCTCTCTCTCTCTCTCTCTCTCTCTCTCTCTCTCTCTCTCAAACACTGTTTTTCTTCACTAATATTGTTTTTAAAACTCACTTATTATCTCGGCCTCTTTTTACATGAAAGTTCTGTTTGTCTTCTGATCTATCAATGTAAATTTTTTTTTTCATAGATTTTTCCCACTTTTTTGGTTCCAACTGAGGAAATATAGAGGCAAGTATCCATTATTCTCTTAATTATTTAGTATCTACATTTTTGTTGTTTTGATCCTAACGTTTTGTCAATATATTCTCTAACCTTTCTTCACCATGGCATAACCATTAATCCTTGTACAGAAATAATTATCTTGGGTACGTTTTAAAATAAACTGTCATCATTCCAGTTAGAATAATTCACTAATCTTAACAACAAATGTTAGAAACGGTGGCCTAGTGGTTAACAGCCTGAAGAAGAGAATCAGCAAATTAAGTTCAAATTCCACTTTGACTTCAAAATGCTCTAATGTTCTTAAGAAAGGCATGAACCCACTTCTTCCTAAGCTACAGGTAAATTACAGGGCATCCCCTTTTAATATACATACTACTGAAAGTGCCAAAGCATCACTTGATATGGTTGTTACCTGAGCCTTGAATAGAGGATTTACAAATCTTAAATAGTAATGATAGTATAAGGAAAAAATTTCACATTCATTGCTCAAGCAGCCAGTGTTATTGTCAGTTGAAATTTATAAAATCTTTCTCTTAAAACAATATTTAAGGAAGATAGGTTTCTCAAGTCCATTAAGTATTATTGGTTTTTCTAGTAATAATGAGACTTTCCTTCCTAAAACTTTTATTTAAAATAGTGTCATTATTTTTTCTTTGAGTTACATGTGCTACCCATTTTGGTTATTTCTGCTATGGAAAGTCTTATATATATATATATATATATATATATATATATATATATATATATATATATATATATATATACACACACACACATACATACATTGATATTGAATCTATTGCTAGGTCACCTGCTAAGAAAGTTCATTCACTGTGTCATGATAGATTCTAGAGAGAAAAATTCTCTATCTTACATATCTATAAATCTACCATTCATCCATGCATTGAATATTGCTGCCACATATGGATCAATGCCCCTGCTATTTATCTAGAGCTCCTTGAAAAAATCCAAAGAAGAATCAACAATATTATTAGTCCTGATCTGGCATCTCAGCTCGAGTCACTTTCCCACCACCATAATGTTGCCCCGAATGTGCCTTTTTGATAAATGCTTTCACGGTAATTTTTCGGATGAGCTCTTTAATATGGTACCTAGAGTTTATGAATTTAAGCGCAGTATTAGACTGGTGACAAGGTCACATCAGTTCACAATTGAATTGGCTAGATGTAATCATAAATTCTATGCTAACAGTTTTTCTTCTTGCACTTCTCATTTCTAGAACTCTCTTCCAGCTGCATGCTTTCCAGCCAATTTTGATGTTCAAAAATATAAATGCAATGTCAGTTGGTATCTACTCTCCTCCTGATTACTCTTCTTTTCTTCTCATTCCTGAGTAATATTTTTGTTTTTAATTCTTCCACACCCCTTGTGTCTTAGTGACTTTACTGCTTTACTTGGAGTGAATTCAATAAAAAATAATAACAACAAAGGCATATAACCATATCACCAATTCCAGTATGATCACCAAATTATTAATCGAAAAGCTGAGTTCAAGTTCCTGTTGAGTTTGTTATAGTCACTTATACACAAATAACAATGGATAAGGTATGAATCCATCTATAGGTTAATTAGTAAGATTTGTATCACTAAACCATTATTGTTACCCAAAAAAACTTATTATTATCTAAAAATATTTTTTGGCTTTAAAAAACCTGCATAATACTGATAAATTGTAGAAAACGAATGACTCAATAACAATAACATTTTTGACTACCCATTAACAGTCTGTTTCATGCAGTGTGATTTTCAAAATGGGTATTCTTTTTCCTTGATATGCCATTCTCCTACAAAATGTATGAAAAAATAAACAAACAACAGATATGTATTCATTTGCTCAGAATTAAAAAAAGAAAAATATAGACAGTATAAGGGATTCTGTTAACAGATACACAGCTAAAGATGGCTGTAGAATGAATTGGCTGAAATGTAAAAATTATTATAAGATAGAGATAGCAGTCTGAATGATTCATGGAATACTTCATCTTAAAATTTCAGACAACATAAATTTTTCTGTGTGCTTTTTTTAATGCTATATTCCTTCATAATGTAAATAATCATGTCTCTCTCTATTGCTTCTTTTTCTTTATTATCTGTGAATTTCCATGAGTTCTTGGGAAAGATCCTGGAGGAATTTCTAATTGGCTTCTTGAAGTAGTCTTCCTCCTAGACTGGCTGCTAACCTAAAATATAGAACTTGGGGTATCCTGCTGGATAAAATATCATTTTCTGTCTTTCTGAAGCACATTGTCTGAAAGTCAATGCAACAGATTAGGATAGAATTTGAACTTGGTTCACTGATTCCACTTTCCTCATTGATAATTGTTATGCTTATTGCACATTCCAAGGTTTTAGTAACATTCTATGATGGTATAACATTGCTAGAGGGTGTGGCCAAGTGTTTAGAATGTCTGCATTCCAAGATCAATTCTCAGGTTCAAATTTCACTATTGTCAATTTAAAAATGACTTCTTGAAATATCAACCTTGGGAAGTAATTCCAGCATGCAGTACTTTTGAGAAGGGTATGAAAATTATACTACAAACTGACCCAAGCTTTATAAATTAATTTAAGAGATGAAACTCTTTGGAAGACGGTTGTACAAGCAAAAAGTCAGAAGTCATCCTGACTAAAGATTTGAGCATACTGGCATTATTTAAACTGTTCATTATGCCATATTATATGCTCACTCCTAGAAATTTAAACTAAGGACTTCTCAGTATAATTTATCTGTATATAAAATTCAGAGATTTCCCTTACTCCATCCATCTATCTGTTAGCCACACCCTCTAAAATAGCTATACATTGATTGATCAGAGCCGAATTTTGGGTCAAAGTGTAAACAGGTAAAGGGGCACAGAGTACAGTTGGTTTTACTGTTTTTGTCCATAACAGTCTCCTCTTTTCAGTATGGTAGTGGGATTGTTATTGGCTGAGAGTGTTTTGCAGGAGAGGGGACTGGAGATTTGATATAGGTTAAGGGAATCAGGAAAAAGAACAATATCATTCAGTTTTGCAAAACATGCCATACCATCTGGTTTTATTCATAATTGGAAAAATTCCCTTTCAACAAGACAATGATCTTAAACCCTCTTAATTATTTCAAAATTACCTCGAGTTAAATGAAAGGAAAAACATTTTTGAAATTATGATTTGGTTCCTTCAATCCTGACCCTCTTCCAATTGATTGTCAATTCTGTCCTACATCCTCTTAATTAGTATAGGAGAAATTGCTGAGGAGAGTTCAAAGAGAATACCCAAAGAGTGAGAGTGAGCTTTTCCAGTAGTTAAAGAATGCTTGCAAACGTCTGCCATCTACTGTTTTCAAAAACTGAAAGAATATCAAGAAAGTGGTAATTAAAGCAGGTGGTGGTTTTATTGACAAAAACAAAATATGATGCTGTTGTTTGATATTTTTTTATAGTTTAGTGCCTAACTACTGAAATTTTATCATGGTAGAGAACCATTTTTCCCAAACTTTTTACCTGTAGTGTATAATGATAATGAAAATTTTAATTTATTAAAGTGTCTTTCACATTGGGTTAAGTATTGAGAAAATGCTAATTTCTAAAATATGGAATAAAGTGCTATTAATAATAAGACAAGGTGCTGAAAAGCTATAAAGAGTGACTTCTGAAAAGTTAATCACTATTAAGTGGAATTTCCCTCAGTTATTAAGGATTGAAAATAAAACCTTCTTTCTTTCATCTGATTTTAATTGTCTGCAGTTTCTCTTTATCTCCAAAGTGAATTTAAATAAAACGAATTGAAATGTTACTGTAAAAACTAATGAAGCAGTCCCAAGTTGTTTGTAGACAACATCTATCAGTCAGTAACTCGATACAAGGTGAATTTTAGTTCATTCTATTATTATCAGTACACAAGAGCTGTCAGCTGCATTTAGTAGCCATCCGTGAAAAGATCAGATGAAGTGATTTCATCTATTTTGTTGCAGACCATTAAAAAGAACTAACAGCTAACATTCAGACAGCCAATAGACCAGAAATTTGCCAGGATTATGAATAAAATGCAAACTAATTCCGCAATGAAATGGTAGGTTTCTATTTTCAAGGAAAGATGATATTGAAAATAGCAATTTTGATTTATTTTTCATTTTTGTGATATTTTTGGCTTTTTATATAACTTCAAAGGTTTTGCGTTGGCTCATTTCTCTTCTTTGTTATTTTCTAAATGAAAAATGAAGGAAAAAATAAACTGAAACCAAAGAAAATATATTGCTCAACTTTCAGATTGTTAATTGAAAGAAAAGGTTAGAAAGTATAACTGTCAAGGAAAAACTATTTTTTTAAAAAAAACTTTCTCTTCAAAGCAAAAATCTATTACTTAAAAGTTTACTCATACCATCAAAAATGACAATATATTATTTTCAGTCCTCATTCTCATGGTAATGGTAATATTAACTGCTTGCATATAAGGAATCATTTAACATTCATTATCCAAGCAGCCAATACAGCTTTCAGTGAAAATTTATAAAATCTTTCTCTTAAAATAATTTCAGAAAAATAAGTTTCTCAACTCCAGTAGTTATTATCACTCTTTCCAATATTGATGGGGGTTTCCTTTCTAACCTTTTGTCAATATCTTGATTATGTAATTATTTTTGGTTTGAGCTACATAATCATTATAGTTCTTGCTGTTGTTATTTGTTATAGTTCTTCATTTGGGATGCTGTAATAGCAGAGTCCACAAGGTTTGAAAAAGAATGATATTTTTCAAGATCCATAGGCTTCAATCAGTCAAAGCAATTTTTAAGAATTGATTTTAGAAAGTCTTTATATATGGTTGACATTTTAGGTATTTCTGAATGTCTTTGGCACCAAGACATCTCTATGAAA